TGAAGGAGCTACTGTCATAGCTTGAGGCCATGGTGAAGGAGCTACTGCCATAGCTTGAAGCTATGGTGAAGGAGCTACTGCCATAGCTTGAAGCTATGGTGTAGCTCAGTCATAGCTTGAGGCCATGGTGAAGGAGCTACTGCTATAGCTTGAAGCTATGGTGAAGGAGCTTCTGCCATAGCTTGAAACTATGGTGTAGCTCAACCATAGCTTGAAGCTATGGTGTACCTCAGCCATCGCTTGAAGCTATTATGGTGAAGGAGCTACTGCCATAGCCTGAAACTATGATGTAGCTTAACCATAGGTTGAAGCTATGGTGCTATTGCCATACGGGTTGTACTCGACCATAGCTTGAGGCTATGGTATAACCCTCCCCCCCCACATGGGAACCATAGCTCGAAGCTATGGTGCAAAACCATAGCTCGAAGCTATGGTGCAACTCGACAACAGCTCGAAGCTATGGTGTAGGACCGACTGCCACACGGGTTACTGGAGCATAGCTTGAGGCTATGTTATAACCTCTCCTACCATACGGGGAAAATACTGCAAGCACGAAGCCAAGAGGGTGCTGGCATTTCCCAGGGGGGAGGCTTCCTTTGAGAGCGCTCATACGAGAGCTATGAGGTGAGTCAGTTCTACACCTCCGCACTCTCCTCGCCTGGTGGACCCAGGGATACTTACACTCTGGCCCCACGCTACTCGTTTTCGAATTTTCCGCCACTACATTCTATAGAGCGATTTCCCAGCGGAAACCGGTAGGGCCATTACGCCGCATGGCCTTCTGTCCGCTCCACTACCCTCTTCACCCATGAATAGAATGCGGCACGATAATAACCGAATACAACACACGATAATGACCGGGTTATTATCGCTCTCGTCTAGTCTGAAAGTGGCCTCAAATACAGCTATTATGACCGGATGTTGTGTTCGGGTGAAGACGGTAGTTAGTAGGTTCCGGCACATCGCTGATCGGGGACGATCTGTTTCTCAGCTCCGATGCCTCCGGCGAGGTCTTTCCGCTTATTCGGTGATATCGTCGCGCCTGGCTATTTTCTTCCCACGGATGACGCCTTCCCGCCGTCGATGATCTTGCTTAGTGTGCTGCTTCACAGCACTGATGTCTGTGACTGGCTTTTCCCGCTTGTTGCTGATATCGTCAGGGTAGAGGATCACGCTTTCAGAAATCCGCTGGTTCACTCCCGACCCTTTGCCTTTTGTTTGCTTTTCCCGAAAAAGAGCATACAGTCATTATGTCTGTGTCCGCTAGTTTACTGCGGACCTTTGTCTTTTGTTGTCTTTCTCGAAAATGTACAGTGAATTAAGGACCCTGCGTTCTGCAAACGTTTTCCAGCCGTTCTCATTAGCATTGCTAGTTTCTCTCTCTCTCTCTCTCTCTCTCTCTCTCTCTCTCTCTCTCTCTCTCTCTCTCTCTCTCTCTCTCTCTCTCTCTCGTGCGCATGCGCACACTGTCTCGTTCTCTCCCTCCTTTTTGGCCTCAGCGTTTGTCTCTTTGGTCCTCTTGTTAGTTATTGCTTTCACAGTCGTTCGAAGGTCTGCACTGGAGAGAGAGAGAGAGAGAGAGAGAGAGAGAGAGAGAGAGAGAGAGAGAGAGAGAGAGCTCAGTTGGTACACCCATGAACTGCTGAAATACAGACCTGAGTTCAAATCCAGATAGAACTAGATGAATGAAATTCTTTAATCACCTAGGCTGTGCAGTTCCACGGTGATGTCTCATGGCTGGCACCTTCAGAAAAACGAAAAACTGAGAACAAGAACAACTTTCTTCGTCAGAATCCGTGATCTTCTGTTACAGCAAAGTCACATTCATGTGTGATTAGCTTGCCCAACTGACTATGGGCATCGTCCACCACTTAACATCCGTAATGTACCTGGACCTGTCCATGGTCCTGCTACATTCAAAATTTTTTGGTCAGTCGGAATGCATCTGGTCCATCTGTCACTCCAGAGACCTGTCTTATGTCGAGGAGTGGAGGGTGGCCACTCTGTTTTTCTGAATGCCTGTGATCCTTTGTCTACTCTATTGTCATGTCTTTTTTCTCGCTGCCACAATTGTCGTCGTTTTGCAGTCTGCCTGCCTGCCTGCCTGCTCGCCCGCCCGCCCGCGTACCCCAACAGCCCGGCCGCCTGCCGCCGGCCTGCCTGACCGACAGCCCTGCGGCCTGGCCGGCTGGTTGGCTGCCTGCCTGACCAATGGACCGACGGCCTGACGGTACGATTAACCGGCTGGCTGTCCGGCTGGCTGCATGGCTGGCGGACTGACTGGCTGGCTGGCTGACTGACTTGCTGGTTGACTGGCTGGCTGGCTGGCTGACTGGCTGACTGGCTGGCTGACCGACTGACTGCATGGGTGACTGACTGCATGGGTGACTGACTGAATGGGTGACTGACTAAATGGTGTGACTGACTGAATGGGTGACTGAATGACTGACTGGCTGGTTGACTGGCTGACTGGCTGGATGGATGGCTGACTGGCTGGCTGACTGACTGACCGACCTACTGACTGACTGAATGGGTGACTGATGGACTGGCTGACTGAATGACTGACTGGCTGAGTGACTGAATAAATGAATGCATGAATGACTGGATGACTNGGACTGGCTGACTGAATGACTGACTGGCTGAGTGACTGAATAAATGAATGCATGAATGACTGGATGACTGAGTGGCTGAGTGACTGAATGAATGACTGGATGACTGACTGGATGACTGATTGACTGAATGTATGAATGCATGAATGACTGGCGGAGTGACTGAATGAATGAATGCGTGAATGACTAGATGACTGACTGGTTGAGTGACTGACTGAATGAATCCATGAATTACTGACTGAAGGAATGGATGGATGGTGGTGGTAGGAGTGTGCGGAGTCCAGGTGTGCTGTTAGTGCTGATGTTTGTTGGACTGACTCCTGCAGTTGACCTTCGGGTTCGGATATCGTTCGTATGATGGCAGTCGGCTGTGGATATCGATTGCGGAACAACAGTCTGGTGAATGCATTTGAGAGATGCAGAGGAGACGATCGAACAGGCAGAGGATGATGCACTGTGGTCTTGTCTCTGTCAGTCGGCGGCGTCTGCATGTAAGATCCCGTATCGAGGATGGTGCTGCCTGTTGGAGGGCAAGGTGATACGAGAAGGGCATTTGCGAAATTGAGGCTGTGAGCGGAGGGTGCTTGTACGATCCCTTGTCGAGGATGGTGCTGCCTGTCAGAGGGCAATGCGATTCGAGAGCGGCGATTGCGAAATTGAGGCTGTGAGCTGAAGCTGCGCCCCGAGGTCTGGCTGCTTTTCGGGTCGGTGGTGCAATCAGGCAGGTTGCGGTCATGGGTCTCGAGGGGCACATGTCCGGCGGGGGGGGTATGAGGGGCAATCAAGTGCAGCTCACGGACAAGAAACACCGGCCGCAGAAGGAGTTAGCGACATCCTCGCGCCTTGACAACGATATAGATGATGCGGACCTAGAGTTTGGGCTGGACGGAGGACAGGAACCGGAGGCGAAGGAAGAAGAGCTTGACGAGTACGACGATGGCCTGGAGCACAAGGTGGTGGCGGAGGAAGAGGATGGCCCCTCGACGGCACTTGCTCGTGAGGAGGCGGCATTAGAAGAGAAGGTTATTGAGATCATTACTATGGGGCAGCTAGAAGATCTTCGGCCCAATTCTGGCCAATCGGTGGTTGTGAATGGCCACAACATCTGTGTGGCGTTCCACGACGAGCCTGCTTCACCGTACAGGGCATGGGAGTGGCATGGGCATATTATGATGTACTCGGACGAGGAAGGCTACTCAGCGGAGTATGTATATGGGAATTTTTTTGAGCCCCTCGATGCCACAGTCATTCCACGAATTCCAGCAAGGGTACGCAATGGGGTTGGAGGCTTGAGTCATTTGTTCTCAGGGTTAAGAGGCCGGTGACGCACCCAGCATGTGTACCAAACAATCCCTTGTCTCCTGTAATATCTTCTTCTTCTTCTTTTCCATGCCTGCCCACTCTCCATCGAAGAGTTCCTCTTCTTGCCAATGGAAGGAGCCGTTTTATCACCACTGGTCTGGTAGTATCAGTCTGTACTGCCGTTAGACTTTTTGACCCTCCTCCCCCCCCCCCCCCCCCCCCCC